GCAAAACCCTTTCCATGATAAGAGTAATATTAGCCAGCATGATGCCCTCTGGACCTATTTGTCCAAACACTAACAAGTTTCTTATGTAGGGGCACTCATGCATGTTTTTCAGACTAAGGGAGGGAATGTGATTGCTATTTTTCACCCAGTTTGAAGTCTGCCCTTGTAGGATCAATATGGCTAATTTGACCCAACAGCTACCACCACCACTCACTCACAAAAACAAAAACTCACTGCAATCATCCCAATGCAACCAACCATACTCTCGGCTCCCAATCTTCTGCATTGCCAACAGAAATAAATAAATGAATAGATAAAGAACCTATCCACATGATGCTGACACAAAACTCCCCACATGAACTATGCAAAAGGGAAAAACACTACCCACCTTCTCCGCCACACCTCTTTCTCCCCATATCTGCCCCCCCCATGCTCACAATGCAGATAGCAGTGTCTCACATCAAATGTAACTGACCTGTAAAGACTCTATGAACTGAAAAAAGACACTATTTATACTTTTGTTATCCATGAAAACCTTTAAATAAAAACAATTTTAAAAAAGAAAGGGTGTCAGTTTTTGCAATATGCATTGAATTCTGACAGAAAATAAAAAGTTAAAAACTTTGAAGTTTCCCTGCATAAGTATCTCTGAAATTTGAAGGCTTAATTCGTGTTCCTTTCTCATTAAATTTCATCCACTTATGTGAAAAGGAAAACAAGCAATAGCCATTTACAGATTCCTCATTATAGTCAATGGGAATGAAACAGAGCTTCAGATTTAACAGATCAGATTCAGATCCAAATAACAGAACAAATTAGACCACCACAGAGCAGATCCAGCTACAAGGTAAATCTTGTGCTTACTCACAGACCTAGTATTTGTAGTTTGGCTTTTAGGTTATAACTTCTTATTTTGTGGTTTTGAATGGACTTGTGGATTCTTTGGTCAAGTAAAAACATATGTGTATTTATTGCCTGATTTTGAATACAGTGGTACCTCGGGTTACATACGCTTCAGGTTACATACGCTTCAGGTTACAGACTCCGCTAACCCAGAATTAGTACCTTGGGTTAAGAACTTGCTTCAAGATGAGAACAGAAATCGTGCTCCGGCGGCATGGCAGCAGCAGGAAACCCCATTAGCTAAAGTGGTGCTTCAGGTTAAGAACAGTTTCAGTGCTTTCAGAACAGACCTCCAGAACAAATTAAGTACTTAACCGGAGGTACCACTGTATTAGAATATGTTTTATATTATTTCTGAAATTAGAGCCACAGAGATCAATATTCTGCACAAAAGAAGTCCATTGACTGCAAGATGCAACCTCAATTTTCTTGAACGTGTCTTCATATTTATTTTCACAACCTTGGTGTTACGTAGAACACACCTGTCATTTACAAATGCAAATGGGAAAGTTAAAAATTACAGCTAAGGTTGGTTTTGTTTTTCGCATACAAAAAGGACAGAATGCATCTATACTCTTCACCCCAAATTCATTAATCATGCCAACATTTCAGTGCTTTCAAAAATTGTGCACACTGCAGCTTAACTGCCTGTTATTTTTTTTCTCTCACCTTGGTGCACCATTGGCCCTCTGCCACTGTTCTACTGAGATATACAAAGTAGTGCAAAAGGCAATGCTGCAACCACATCCAATAATTGCCCAAGTGAGAAAGGGAGATTACAAACGTGTTTCAATACTTATGCAAGCTCCCTACAGTTTAATAAGTTCAACTCCTGTAGACAATAATGATTTCAGTGCAGCTATTATTCAGTGGCAGCATTATTCATTAGATATATTTTGAAACTTCCACTGTGCGTCTTAGGGCTAAAATGGTCAGGACAAATACACAAATGCATTACAAAAGTATGAGAGTCTGTGGTGGTTGATATATTATTAAATTTCTATACAGTACTGCCACAGAAAAGGCCTATTCTCATATTGCCACCCTCCTGACCTCTCACAGGGGAGGCACACAAGGAAGGATCTAGGATGGTTGTTGCAGGGTCTAGGTTGGAAAGCTAGAAGACACACTAAGGACAGAAAGGACATTTAGTTGAAGAGAAACTAATGAGAACAGGTTAAAAGTAATTGATTTAAACATATCCCAAACAAGATGCATAGAATGACTAGAGTCTGCCAGTACTGCCCACTTCTGCCAGTACTGGGGTAGTTCTGTTGTACTTCCTCTGCTATTGCCTGGGTGAAAATGTATTCCCTTAATTCCTGCAATTTTAAAAATATTAAACAGATAACACAAAACTTACTCAATACCTACAAAAGAATGTGTGGAATACATAAGTTTTTGGTTGACAGGAATCTGCTCAATCTAGAAATGGTGCAAATACGTACGCTCTGTGTGCGTATGTGTGTGCGCGTGCACGCATACAATACTTAAAAGTCTACTTTAGAATCCATAGAAAAAAGATGTTTTCTGAGGTTTAGGAACTCAACTGCTTATTCTTGTCTAATAAACAGAAGCTGCCATCCACAAGGTGAGGCAAGCATTTATAAGTTTAGCTAGTAAACCATCAAGTTTCCTGGTAGTCACCACTGGCTGTAGCTTCTGCAGCCAACAAGACAAAGCAGCTGGCCTTATTGGATGTGGACTTGATGCAGCAAGATCTTCAGTAGCACCCTTTCCTGTACTTTTCAGACTACAGGCAGGATATAGATCTGTAACATATGCTCCTGCTCTTTTAAGACTTTTTCAGTTTTTATGGTATGTATTTCTCTTCTACAGTTAATTCACAAAGAAATTGGATGTTTTTGAGCTATTTCTGAGGAAAATCAGCAAAAACACTGCCATACGTCCAGATTTTCCCAGACATTTCACCGATTTTTGTCCAGACACTGCTTGCGGCTGCAGTATTCTGGATATGTCTGGGACATATGGCTATCCTGACCCTGAGCTATTTCTTTTGTCTAATGATCCATTTTAAACCACTGTAGAGGAGACAATTCAAATGTGTCTTCGTTGGAAATAACGTTTCCAAATATTGAGTCATACTGACATGTTGTTGCATAGGGCAGACTAAACAGTTAAGACTAGTGCAAGGCTTAATGCTAGCGCAGCAGGATTCCATCCCTACCATCCCCAAATCTATTCTGGAGGATTGAGGGGGACTCCCAAATTTAGAGGGCATGTATGGGAAGATTGTTTAGTTGTGCAAGGAAAACCTTGTGCTAAGACAACAATCTGCTTAATATTACACACTGAATACAATCCATATTTCTTAAATCAGTACTTGTAGATAGTGAACATAAATGTTTAGATTGATCTGTTTTGCTTATTTGATTTAAAAATGGTACATCTCAATAATCATGTATCAGCATTCTGGGAAAACCATTTATGGCAGAGATTATGAAATTTCTTTAGTTAGCATCTTTAGTTATTCTTCCAATGTCCTGTGGAATGGGAAACTAAAAAGAAATTTAAAATGCAGGGATTTTTGAAATAATTGCAAAAACTGGATCATATTTTTACAGAATAGTGGTCATGAGAACACATCTCCAAGTTCCAGTTTGCTGACCTCTTTATAGGATACCGAGAGCCTGAGCCTGAGGTAGTTGCCTTACTACCGTCCACATGTTATTTTGCCGATGGGGTTGTAAGGATTGTTTACCCATCTACATTCTTTCAGCATATGCTCAATCTCTAAAAAGAATTAGAGCTGACTAATTTCTTTCCATGTCACTGTTGGCATCTGTCTTGAGAGATAATGGAATTGCCTCTGGGGATGAATTTACCTCCCTGGGGTGCAAACCAGGGCAGTGTGGATGGAGGTCCTGGGCTGCTCAAATGACAATACCTCATTCTTGGCCTTGCTGATGTGGCACAAGTTGGCTGCAGGAGTTACCGGAAGGAGGCATACAAGGTGCCATCCAACCGTCTTAGTGAACTCCACTCCATATTTGTGTAGGGTTTACTCCTTAGCCTTTTCTTCTCCTGGAGATGTTGTGCTAGGTAGCAGAGACGTAGGATCAGAGTTTTCCTTCTAGATGGCCTACCTTCCTAGGTGGACAAGCCCCGTCTGCCCCTCTACAGCACATGCAGAAACTGCTTTTTGGACTGTTGGGACCCACTATAGGTCTCGTCCACTCAATTTGCCAGAACCTGTCTTTGCATGAGATGGAAATCCTTAACTCACCAAGGGTCTGAGACCCATCAGTTACTCTCACCTGGTTTAGCCAACCAGTCAAAGCTGTTCCTGGGGTGCGGTTGCTGTCACATGCTGACAGCTCCGAGGAGCCACAGGTGAGAGCGGAGTGCAAAGTGGGACCAAAGATGGACAAACTACCCCAGAAGGAGCACAATGTACTACTTATCCCCTAACACCCCATGTCCATATAAAAAAATATATATAATTTGTCCAGTAGCACCATAGAGACCAACTAAGTTTGTTCTGGGTATAACCTTTCGTGTGCATGCACACTTCTTCAGATACCATGTCCATGTCACTAATGCATTGGCAATATAATGAGAAAGGTCATGACTCTTACACTACAGTAACACATCGTGAATGCTCAGGACAATGGAAACCTAAATAGTTAGCACACAACTGCCTGATTACTCCTGGGTAGACCTATTAAAAGGTCAATGGAACTGCTTGAGAAAGAATCAATTGAAATAACTGTCATCTGGAAAGCTTTATTTACTACTTCTAACCCTGCATTATCTACATGAAAATCTGTTATTTTAAGAACTTTTCAAACTTGTGTTTCCATAGATCAGCAAAATATTGTTTAAAGCCATACTTGAAAATGTAGGCTAAATGTGAACAGCTTCTGAAATAATAGCACAGCATGATTAAAAAACCTGAATGTCATAATACAGGTAGATCCTGTGGTTCAGGTTTGAACAGCAGCAATTCTGTAGTGCAGCAACTGTGCCTCACCTTTGGGAACTAGATTGGCAACATCCTTTGTCTGAATCACACAACCCGTATAAAAAACCTTTAATGACAAAAATTAATGTTTGAGACTACACACAGCTAAGTCTGAAAAGGAAGTACAATATAAAATTTTATTTTAAGGGGGTAAAGAATATGCAGGTTTCCCAAATATTTATAATAATTTATTGCTTCAAATTAACCTGTTGTACAGTTAGTGAATCCCAGACACTGTGCAAGGCTACCAGCAGGCAATTATAGCGTAAGCCACTTCTCTGCAGAAGGTATGCAATGAAGCTGAATCGAGGCACATAAAAGCTTTTCTGCGAAGGAGAAAAGTACACTTGAGATGCCTCAGTGGAGCATGCGGCTTTACTGGCAGCAGGCATATCATTAATCTGTGTCAGAATGGACTACACAGATAATAGTTTCTATGTTTTGCTGTCCTTTACATATTAATATCTCGTGTAGTCTTCACCTGCAGTACCCGTCTAGTCTAGGAAGCTGAACAAAAGCAACAAACATAATGCATTGACACTCTATGGATTTAAGGGAACAAAGTACCAAAAATCTGTTTAATCTTAGCAGAAGAACAAATCCCAAACCCAGCAGTAAGACACAGTTGGTATTCACTGCACATAACACAGAAATAGATGTGACATTGAGGATAGACTTCACTGGACAGTGTACTTAAGGTAGCCAGGGAAGCAGCTCCTAGAAAAGGCCAAGCTGTTTTGCAGAAGATCAAATTACGCACTAAATTTATCCTAGTGTTTCACTCATCTTAGGATCTTACCAAGCACGTAGTGAAATCAAAACAGCATAGAAAGGCTTTTCCTTAACTTTTATTTCCTCAACTATGGTGACTTTCTGCCAAAAACTATAAATCACTGAATGATTACAGTCACAAAAAACTAAAAAACAATAAATAGCTGTTATGGGATGTTGAGATAACTTCCCCATTCAGATCCTCTGAACCAATTGCTCCTATCACAAGCCTTTGTTCACCTGCTGCTGAACTCTCAAGTTCATCTTTATCACCTTCATAAAATATTAGGCTTTAAAAAATAATGTTAAGACAGTAACATTACAACCTGCAAGGGCCCAGGATTTTTCAGTATCACAGCAATGAGGGTACAACAAAGCTACAGAGGAGCACCAGTGGGAACATAATAGGGAACTAAAAATACTGCAATGGAAATGTCTGCATTACTCAAAAGCTGGAGTATTCATGAAGACTTAACCACTTCAACACAATAGTGACTCCAAAGTGTAGACCAGGTGCTCAATATAAAACACACACACACTTTGAAATCTGATTTTTAAAGAAGTTGCTCCTTTAACTTTTTGGTACAAGTGCAGATGCTACTTCCCCCTCCCTTCAGAAAAATCATTGTCACTTTTCATTCTACTCATAATCGAAGTGACTATACACAGTGCAAATATTATGCTCATTCATATTTACATGCTTCTCAAAAAAATAATAATACATATTTTCCAGTTCTGATCATATTGTTATTAGACTAGTTCCCTTGGAACTTTTCTATCAGTGGTGATAACCACTTCCAAATACAAAGGATAAGGTTCGCTGGCCAATGCCTATTTATATCCAATATTAGCAGTAAGGAAATCTGGGTACAGCCTCTCTGGAAGTGCCTGCCTCCAAATGACTTATAAAAGTGGATCTCAATGTAATGCTGATGAAACAATCATATAATTTTCCCCAACTATGATCAGAATACAGAATCCAACACAAAATGCATTTTTGCCTTGCTTGACTTGACATTTTGACTTGGGTCTTCCTTGGAACGAGAACTGCTACAAAAACTGGAGCGTGATGGCATCTCGTTGCTATTTAGCTTTCATTCTTCCTCATGCTGAAGTGCTCTGAGGCTAACCTGACGCCAAGTATATAAAATAATAGTTAATGTCAGTTTCCCCTACTATGCCAGCATTGGCAGATTACATGGCGAGTCATCTGGTAAAGCGACGTGGGGCTCGAGTTGTTCGTAAGCAACATGCCTCAGAAGATTCCTCCAACTTCTCCAATGCCTCCAATTCTCTTCGCTCTCCTTCCAGGTAAGCGCCATGGCTTCTGCAGTCCACATGACAATCATTTCAGGTGTCTGCTGCACTCACTTCTTTGGAACAGAAATAATGCACGACTATTGCATTAGGATAGCGGGCGAAGGCACTATAGGAAGAGAAAAGGTAGGTGCATCAAGTTATCTGGTTATCTTAATAATTTAAAAATAATATAAAAAACACTACTTGGTTTAGTTATCTTTAGAAGGGCACAGAACAGGCTCCTCTTTACAAAAATCTATACTTTTTGAAAGGTCACATCTCAACCAGCATTTCTCTCTGCAGTTCTTAGTGTTTTGTTTCCTTTGCGTTCCTGTAGCAGCGTGTGCATGTTTCCTTCCCTTCTTGCTAGTAGGTGGCTTATCTAGTGTTTGGCAAGACTTAAAAGATATTTTCGAAAATTCCAAAACCAAAGACATGTAGTAGTTTTCATGATGCACTTTTGTGCATCCTTTTTGGAGAACTGCATCACAAATGTTGAGTAAGCATGAATTCCAAAGGATAGCTATGTCAGTTCACTTATTTGATTCAGAAAAGTTCACGCTAAGAGGCAAGCCAAGTGAATTCCACCACCATGCCCCCCCTCCTGATACCCACTTATCAAGGAAGAATTCTCATTGAATCTAGTGGTTCTTTCTTCTGAATAAACATGCTTAGGAGTGCATTATCAGAAAATTAACTGTACATTCTAAGAATGCTTCGGCAAGCATCCTAGCCCACTGCTGCTCTTCCACAAAAATTGTGCAAAAATCAGACTGAGTATCAATTTCCACATACCTATTTCCAATCTTCTTTTTACACACACTGCAAAGTTTTTCCTTCTGTGATTATACATTTCACTTGCTGGTGTAAAATCCGTTCCTCCTGTACCTATGGCAAAATAAGAACAAATAGAATAGAACATTCCCACACACCTTGAAGAAATATGAAAATTACCTTCATAACAGTTAAACTAATTATTGTTGCTGTTTTTTGGTTTTACAATTTACCAATTTCTCTACCAAACAACCCCCTCACATACAACAGCCCAACATTTGCTTTAAACATTCCCTTTGATAAATATGGAGAAGTAACATGAACAACATACTCTCAGGAATTCAGCATGGAGAAGATTTTTAAGTACTTGACTGAATCTTTTCTTCTGGGCATTTTCTTCAAGGACTTTTTCCAGGAAGATTCGAATCTCGCTAATTTGAGTATTTGCTGGGAGGAGGTTTATTGCCTACAGATACAACCAAAGGGAAATTAATATGTTAGGATTCTTCCAAAATACAGTTCCAGTATTCCAACTTTTCATGGTTGTGAGTATGGGCGGGGGGAGGAATATATCTTGCAAAAGTTAGTATAAATAAATTCACAAGTTACGTGTACGTTAACTCTTTAAAAAAACAAATTCTCTGGATACAGCTTAATTTTATTTGCAAAGAAAGTGGCCCTTCAAGCAGCTTGTGGAAGAAAAAGGGGTATTCAAACACAAAAGCTAGTTTATTTTAATGCAATATGCAATAGAGGTTTCTTGCATCATATCTACTCCATTCCACAATGCAGTGTGCTTCATTAAAAAATAATAATCCTTACTTTGGTAGTGTCCAACTTGCTGTGATGAAGTTCCAAAACCTGCAATGCAGCCTGGAGATTGGCTTGAGGCTCCAATAGTTTCATCTTGATTGGTCCCAAGCAGTGAACGCTAGGTGGTGAGAGGTACATCCGGAGAAGAGACAAGTATACCTGTTTGACACAAAGCAAACCACTGTATTTAAAATCCACTCCAAAATGTCTGGGACGAAGTATGCCACCCCAGACAGAAACAGTGCCCATCTTATAACAAAACTCTTATCTTGACCGTAAGTATTTACAGCTTTATATAAGCTCTTGCTCAAATGGTATGAACAAGAGTCCACAGCGCTCCTGGGAAAAGTGTTTCCCATTTATTTCAGAAGTTAAAGCTGATCTTTATCTGCGAAAGAAATGCACTAATTAGTATATTGCAACACCCTTAGGTATTTATGCCTGCAATGGAAGGTATACTGCAATGCATACGTGTAGAAACAATCCTACTGTACAAAGGTAAAATTAAGTAGCAGACATAAATGTGTGAGCATGCAAACACACCTATTTCCTTGTAAAAACGTAAGAGCCTGCCCATCAGGTCCAGCATCCTGTTCTTACAGTGTCCAACCAGATCCGTGGGAAACCCACAAGCAGAAATTGAGCACAAGTGCTCTCCCCTCCTGTTCAGCTGTTACTCAGAAGCATTATAGTCATACCTCATGTTACGGACGCTTCAGGTTACGTGTTTTCGGGTTGCGGACCAAGGAAACCCAGAAGTACCGGAACGGGTTACTTCTGGGTTTCGCCGCTCATGCATGTACAGAAGCGCTAAATCACGCTTTGCGCATGCGCAGAAGCACCAAATCGCATCGGGGCAGATTACGTCCGCAACCCGAGATTCCACTGTGGAGCCAGAGCACAGCCATTGTGGGTAGTAGCCCTGTTCTACCCTCCATTTAATCCTCTGTTAGCTACATAGCCTCCTGCTGCCCAAGCCACCACTCCTTTTCCCACCTCACACACAACTATGATTAATGGGTAGAAAGGGGGCCTTTTGTGTGAGGCTGGCCAATTGAAACCGCACAAGCTCAGTCATGCCTGTGCAGTAACTGCCTGAAACAGGTTTTGTAGTGCTAGGAGGCCAAGGCAGACGAAGCTCTTCCACCAGGGGAGAAATGATGGCCTTGGCAATGAGCCTCACTCACCGCTGCAGGGTGCGAAGTTGCTTCAAATACAACAGTATATTTTCCAAAGCAATTTGCTTGGAAATAAGAGATTGCTTGATTTGCACACACACACACACACACACACACCGATCAACACCTGAGTATTTAAATGACTTGAATACTTATAAAATTTCAAGTCTTGCAAGCTCATTTGTTTCGGGCATAAAATCTTTTACTCACTCCAATTACCTGCCATGAAATTTGCTGATGCTACAAACTATGTAACAGAAACAGGATAATTAAAGGAAGCGTGTTTTGTAAACTCCAAGATAACAGAAAATAAGCTACTCACATCTTTGCTGCCATCTTTGCTTTTGTCGTAGTGTTTGTGACAGTAACTGAAACACAACAGCGTATACAGGAAACTCAGAGTGGCCTTGAAGTCCAGTTTATTTTAAAATTTACATATTTTGACTTATTACCCTACAATTATCAGTAAGTACTGTGCTGCAACCTTCCAACAGTTTGACTTTACCCCCAAAGCCAAACTCTTCCATTGTCTCCCGAGGCAGATGGATGCCTATCAACTGGTTTCTCAGTTTGCAAATTAAAAGGTTAAAAAGGACTGATCACATGTAAGAAAGAAAAATACTTTCCAGGATTAAAACATTTTTCTATGCTATATTTATGCATACATATTTGCACAATGAATCATATGTCTATGCAACAAAACAAACAAGGGTCGCTTGGTAAGTGCACCTGCTAATTTCTTATGTTCTTAAGACTGTTAATGAACTGGCTACTAGGACCCCTTTGCTAATTACAATATGACACACAAGGCTCTTTTCCCCCACCTTTCATTTGTTCAGATTACGCTCATTTCCTTTCCGATAGGCTGTGATGTGTGTGGGGTGCCTGCAACAGTTTCTCTAGTTTGCAGATGTGCCACAAAGGCTGACGACCCCCGATGCAGAGGGGAACAAATTAAGGTGGGAAATGACTACATACACCTCCCACTTAAACAGGTAAGAATGAACTAAGTTGGTTTGCTTCTTTAAAAACTAACAAAGTGTTGCTGTTAAGCAGAGACGTACTTTTCAGCCATTTTTGTATCCTTCAGGATGTGAACATATATGAAGAGAGCTTGTTCATGATTTCCCATCCGTCCCAGCAGCAGAGCACGTTCTTCTAGGAGGCCTGCAGGCAGGAGTAGAACAAAAGTAGCTATTATTGCCTTCAATAGCAACACAGTTCTGCAAAGTTGGCTATGGGAATTTGTCATGAAAATGAGTAAGAGGACAAGAGCAAACTAAGTAGCAGAGGAAGATCATCTTTTGTTACAATACCTGGACAGAAGGAAGAGGAAGAGCTCAGTTTATTCTAGAAATCAGTAGCACCACACTGTCAGTTGTTGTTGTTTTTATTCCTCTGTGCACCACTTTTCAGTTACCCATAGCTTTTCAAGCAAACAGTGAGCACTGTAAACATTGCTCTTCACATAAAACAGTCAATTGTCCTCTATCAACAGTATCAGATGTATTTATAATGGGCCATTATGCAGCATCTCTTCCACCATAGGCCAACACAGACATGCTGCCCTAGGCTCCTTTGGCAGGATGGAGCGGGTGCCAATATAAAATTTAATAATAATAAGGGGAAAGCCCTTTACATTACTGAGACATGGATAACTGGATACATTCTCTTTTCCAGCACTTAAAATGTCTTAATTTTTTTTTTAAAGGACTAAAAAATACGATTCCACTGCAATAGGTATAGCTAATTGCCCCCAGGAATGAAGGAGACCAATAAGGCTGCACCATCTCTTACCATCAAAGGGGAAGTCACTGATGAGCTGCTCAGCATTGTAGCAACTGGAAGTCTCAAGGAAGAAAAGAAGTTTTTGCCGATACTCTCCGAGTTCCCCCTCCTCTTCTCCAGCTGCCACCGGTGGTTTATCTGAAACAGATGGTTAGCATCAGCAAATGTGAAGCCATAAAATGAAGTTATCTGAAGTCCCACTCCCATTAGACAGGAGACCCACTGAAACAAAGATGCTTCTGAACATCTCATGCGAAGTAAAATTTAATAATGTTCCTAATAGCGCACAACTGAGATACATTACCTAACAGTAGCAACTTACAGTCTGCAATCTACACAATCACCCTTGTGTTTAAAAACAAAGGTCCATCTAATCCAGCTTCCTGTCCTCACAGTGGCCAATCCAACAGTTTTATCCCCACCTGCAATTGCCAGCAACTGGTATTCAGAAGCATGCTGCCTCTGATTCTTTTAATCAACTACCTCTTCTCCATAGTTTGTCCCATAGTTTCTTATTTTGGCACACTGAAGTAGACGAGGGGTGAAAATACCTGGAGGAAAAGAGCTGAGATATTCCTTCATTAATCCTTGCACTTTTTCACAGTAGAGCTGAATCAGGCAGTTGTGGAACTCTGAACCAGCCTCTTCCCAGGTTTGGATTATATGTTCCTGTAAATACATGTCCACAACCCATGTATGACAGCTGACCATAGAAGACCCTGCCTCTTCCCATCAATATTTCAATATGTGTTCAAGAGAAGCCACTTTTTTCTTCCTTCATATAAACCAGGAATCCTACAAAAACGGCTACATACGTCCTGGATTAGCTACTGCTACATGTTTATAATTTGCTCACCTTCAAAAATTGTGTCAGATAGACCTAGAAGTCAGACACAAATTGCTGTTATCAGAGCAGGGCATGCAGGTAACAGCATGAGTTCTTACCAAGTATGGAACAGCCAGGTTTTTAAAGTTCTCTATCAAGAAACTGAGGACTTTGTTTCGAGGAAGGGATTCCACTTCAGGAAGATCTTCTGTGAATATCTGCCAGTCAAAAAGGTTGAATTTCACCAAGTTAATTTGTGTACATTTACACTCATTTTTCCAAGGGAAGTCAAACGGTTCAATTCACAAGCCCCAAAATGACACACAATATCTTTCTGAAGGAGCAGCAGCAATTAAGCTTCAACCTTCTCCAGCTGAAAGCACAATATACAAACACAGAACACTGCGGGTAAACCTCTTGCCCTATTTCTCTGTATCAGCAAGTAGCATTCTATAGCCAGTGTCCCTATTAAACTGAGATATTGCATGCATTCATGACCTCCACTTATTGAACGGGTTCTGGAAAGGAACTTGCAGCCACTTTGCTTCTTCCTAGTCTTACTATTGTGCCACACTGAACTAAACCAGGGTTTGACTTAGCACGTCATGTGAACTGGGACTTTTGGTTAAACTCTCCCCGCCCTAACCACAAGCTGTAGTCAAGGTTTGTTCTTGACTGGAAGTTCTTCTCTAGAACTGCTTGCGGCCTTGGTAAGTCATAATTTGGTTTACCAGGTTGTGCAAACCAGGCCACATTCAGCACAGCAACAGGCAATTCTTGTCTTCTAAAACCAAACAACGAGAACTGATGCAACTCAAGCTTTGATGAAACCTCACTCAGAGCTACCAACTTCATCCTGTCTTTCAGTGACTGGGTTCAAAAAGCTATTGTGGGCTTGATGTACCCTAGATTTACTTCACAGCTTCTTTTTGCTTTCATTAGTCGACTCTAGATATTACTGGTAAGTAAGGATAAGCAAGATAAGCTTTCAATAAAGTAAGGAAGATGCATTTTTCAAGTACTGCAAAGCTGCTGCATACAAACATAATCTGAGTTATTGCTAACTTGTAACTGTGGCTTCTGTCAACATGTTATGGTAGATATTACCATATTTAATCTAACACTCACCTTTTTTGGCCAAATTATGAAAATTAAGGTGTGCATTAGATTCAATGGCAGATTTACATTTGCCAGCAAATACTTTTTTTAGTTTCAAGGTTCTGAAAATTAACGTGCGCATTAGATTTGATGGTGCATTAGACTTGAGTAAATATGGTATATGCAGCAGCTTTCTTTTTGGACACATGAGGTAGAATGGTCAGTATTTACAAATCTATGTGAGAGAGGCCGTATACAGCCACAGAGGAAAAGCTACTATTTAGAGCAATTTATAAGGGTCTTTGTGTGGACCCAGAACACTTAAAGCAGCCCTTTATTTACAATTATGATAGCCTTATGAGTGTGAACTAAGTGAGCGAAATTATTAGAAGGATCTGCCTAATATTATTTGCTTTACTATCAGCGCAGTCAGCGCAGTCAGTTCACCCTAATTCTCTCCACCTTTATTTTCAAATGTGACAAAAAGTGTGCTTACTTTCAATCCATCTTCAGGAAAGTCTCTAAGTACCCAAACAGAATAAGAGAATATTAAGTTCAAGTTGTCTGTGCCTAGAATAAGAAACAAAGCAAAATGGAATTGAACTAGACTGCAAGCTATAGAGTAAGGTGTAAATGACAACTAGATCCATCACTTCTTAAATGTTTTTTATTTAAAAAAGGCACTTTTTACAAGCCGCCTTGAGTCCCTTTTAGGGAAAAATTATCCTGCTGGGATGCCTTTCTCTGAATATTAGGACATGGCTGTTAATGCCACCATAATTTCTAATGCTGCTCCAAAAGAAGCCTATCAGGCTTAAGCTCCATCTCCGGGAGATCAAGAGAACCCGCTTCACTTAAAATTTTGGGCTGAGTTGACTGATGTCCACAGGTTTTCATATTTTTACTGTATGGTCAACCAAATTTATGAAACTGATTCATAAATAATTCTGTGAATTATTTTGGAGTGTGGGGTGGGTTTTTCTCATTTGTCTTTTGTGAGCCACCACAATCTACTGTATTTGTTCCATGGAAAGGTAGGACAAGATGTGAAAACAGAAGGTATATTCAGCTGCACTCACCCAAGTGTTGCAAATACTGCACGGTCCTCTCATGGCCCTTCAAAGGGGAGTTAGCTTTCTTTGACTGATCCACTAGCACCTGCAAAGCTGCAGAAAAACAGAAGAAAGACCTACTGGGATTTTCCTTTAGTTACCCATAACCAAGGCTCCTCAGTTAATATGAAGAACTGTGTGTTTTGTGCCCTGACAAACCAGAAGCAGTCTTTCCTACATAAACACACACAATATTGTTTGGTGGAGATGAGCATGAAGGTAGATTGGGATCTACTGGTAAATCTCTGGGTGCTTTGCAGTCATGTGACAAGAATTTCTGAGTCCCAATTGTTTACAGCAACAACAAAATTACTTTCCCCACCTAAATTAGACTGCTGAAATGAAGAAAACTAAGTAGTATTTGACTTTTGTGTGAAAAGACAGCAAGTTCACCTCAATTCCAGCACTGAAAACAAGTTTTCAGGCTCAGAATGGAATGTATTCTTTAATTCTATCTGTATGTGGTTTACACCAAAATCTGGTTGCTGGACAAACTAGATCCAACAGGCCAGGAGTCTGCTCACTCTTGAGCAAAAGATCAAGACAGTACTTTGAATTCTATTTTTAACATCCACATGTCTGTAATGTAGCATATGCTACTATGACAGCTTCTTGAATGCTTCCTCTTTCTTTTCCCCCTGCCTCTGGGAATTTGTCTGCCATTCCCTATGCTGTTCTGCCTTGGATATGGAAGTATTAAGAAACAAAATGCCCTAAAACCAGTTCCCTAACAGAAGAGTGTAACAGCAGCAGTATAATAGCTATCCAGTAAGAGTTAATTGACAGAGAAACATGAACAGAAAAAGAAAAAGATAAAATTCACAGCATCAGGAGTATCCTTTTGATATTGTAAAGTTGCGATTAAAGTTAAAATAGTGTAATACAAAAGGTCTGTTGAGATTGCAAACTAAAGGGTCCCATCAATGCAGCTGCCCACCCCCATCCCTCCCCGGCTTCAAATAACAGCTCTGTATATCTTTATACTATAAAGCACTCCTCACGCCATCATTATCTATTTTTATCCACCCAGGCCTTTGATAACTATGGCTTCTATGATGGAGTTCATCTTTTAGTGGGGTGGGTAGGACTTACATTATGTTATTGGGTGGGCATTTTAGATATTTTGTATTATCTGTTGTTTTACCTTCCCGGATTCCACTGTTTTTATCAGTTGTATTTTATCTTAAGTCACTCTGAGACTCACTTTTTTTTGTAAAAGGCAACAAACAAATGTAAACAATGATAATATATTCAAATCCTGAAAGTTGGTGTTAGCAACCTACTTGTCAGTTCCATCCCTTCAAATGCTGGTGCCCCTCCCTGTGTCTCCCCACAACTGAGAGACCATAAATGCATAGGACCAACCTGCTACATACTATCACTGACCTAAATAAAAGCACATCTAAGGGGCATTAGGAAAACGTGCCCCAAACAATATAGCAGCTACATTTTTTGAAGTGACCCAAATGGCAGAGGTCCTTAAATAATACTTTTGGGCACCTTTTAGCCAGGATAGATCTAAGCCAGATAGATTGACAAGGTCTATCTTACACACCAATTGATTCCCACCCCACAAAACTTACCTTTCTCATGCAGACCTTTCTTCTCATACAGTATGATCAGCTCGCTGTATTTGTGAGCTTTCTTGAGCACATGCTCACTTTCCTCTATGTGGCAGTGATTGTTCTCCAGTCGCAACAGTGGTGCCACTAGGGCCACATTGGTCTGTCAGTAAGGAGGAGCAATTTGAGGGAATCAGAAACAGTTTACTATGAACCAAAGGAGGCATGCATTTAGAACCAGGAAAAGGAAGATACTTATTACAAATCTAAGTACTTATTTAAAAACAAGTCTTCACATGTAGTAGGGCTATGTACTTATGTGCTTTGACTAGCAAAGAGCTAGTTTGTTAGTCTTTCTATTCCATTTTTTTATTTTAAAAAAAATTAAGCAAGGGAAAACAATAATATTCCAGGGTATTTACTCTCCTCCTAAAAAATATCATGCAGGCACTTTCCTTCATATTCAGATTTGTATCTCAAACAACCAGACAACCCCTTTTCTTGTTTAGTAAGAGATTGTCGTATTAAGAACAAACAACAGCAAACAACAGAGACCAAATGACAGTTACTAAGATTCAGCATGACCAAAACAAACCCATCATATATTTAATTTCTCCTCTGAATATTCATGTCCTCTAAAAATCTTGGTGCAATTTAAAGGCAAGCAGGATATATTTCAGCTGTGAAGAGTTTCAAAGAAGATACTGACCACAGCTTAGATTGCACCCAGGAAAGATCTGAGATAAGTGTAGGTGCCCCAAAGTGTTGTGTCTGTTTTCACCTTTAGTATTTTAAGCTTAAAGAGGGACTTAAACTCAATCTAAATCCTTGCCACTATTAGTCCTGAGTTTTCAACACCAAAACCCTAAATGCCTGGTTTGAGGAAGACACGTGTATTTCAGAAAATGCAGAGAACTCACATGGAGGTAGCATTTCAACAGGGTGGTATCAATGATCTGCAGCAACTTCTTCTTTGATTTGATGGTGGGAGTCCCCTCCATGAGGGGAGAAGTGCTGGACTGATGGTCTGAGTCATTCAGCTTTTTCACTAACTGACTTCTTTTCTGCAGAAATTAAGAGTCAAAAGAAGTGAAGTCATGCCACTCCTCACCCACATTACCTCCGAGAAAAACTGCATGCGACTGCAACCTTTTTATCCACATGGGTTCAGACAAACTGCATTTGCTTGTCAGTTTTTGTTGTACTGGCTTTTCTCATTCTTCTCCTTTTTCTAATATTCTGTTAACCTTGAAGCCCCTCCCCCTTTTCTCTGCACATGGTCAACATTTGGACTGTAAGCTCACTGGGCAGGAGGAGATGTCTTTCATGTCTTTGTTACTCTGTCCAGTACTGTGTATGCTGACAGTGCTATATGAACAGCAAAGAAAGAGCTGACGCAGCGTATGATAATGAATCCCACCCACCCCACCCCACGGCGATGTGACTTTTTTAAGCATGAAAGCTTTTCATGAGACTGCTCTGATATGTACAAGAGATCGTGCTTCACACCCTCCTTTTAACATGTTAGGTGAGGCCATAGCTGCTAAGCCCAAAACACATGAAAAATAATTTCAGGAGGTCCTGCAATGTCAAACAGTCACATGACCATCGACTACCCAAAACAGGATGCTCAAGGAGCTGCTAAACACTTACCTGTGTTAGGTAGTCTATCAGTGCCAAGTGTGCTTTCTCCAGCTCTGCTGGAGACAGAACTGGAACAGGGTTGGGATACTGGAGCTGTTTCTTGTAATCACTGGGCAACAGTTCGGGATAGAGACCCATGACATGGGTAGGATCTAAACAAAATATATGACCATAGTTAAGTCACAAAAATTCCAAACCATACTTCAAAGTGTATTCTGTTTTTAAACTCAATACTACCAAGTTTCCAGTTGCAATATGAAGGATCTCAGACTGGAAGTTGGAAGGCAGGAAATTTCACATTTCCACAGCTTCCATCAACAAACTGGTGTCTTGGCCAACTGTTCTTTTGGCCAGCTTTCACACACTGGGTATCATGTGGGAGACAACGGTAAGTGTTCCCATGTAAATGTTTCCATGGTGGTTCCATTGAAAGTGGTAGAGATATAAGATTTGAGAGTTTATTACTATGTGGATTGAAAGTATAGTATACAACCTGGTCGGACCAGAGCTATAGGGATGTCTCACACAACAGAAGCCTCACACTTGCCATGCATAAGAATTTCAAGTGGCCTTTCACATGGGGACTTTAGAACACCTTTCCTGATAACTAGCCAAAGGTTGCTTTCCTCCAGTGTGACCAGCTCAATGTCATGTGAATTTGCCATTAAGTAGATGTCATTTAAGTTGTTATGATCTTGAGGTCAACATGAACTGTTTTAGGAGAGGTCATTCTCCAGTGGACATTAGGATTCCACCTAGTGCGATATCATTCTGCTTCCATTCTGCTTTGAAGACTTTAGAGGTCACAGCAATCTCCCGTACCTATCTGTCTATTAAGTCCAGGCTACACAACTAACTTACCTGTCCCAAGTTTGGCAAAGACTTGCATGGATTCATCAAAGCGCTTTTGGCAGAAAAGGTTGAAGGCATACAGATTCTTAATATGATGGATTTGCTGTCGCTTTTCAGTATCAGAGTCATCCTTCATATCCTAACAAGTGCAAAAATAGGCAAAAGATTTAAGAAGTATTAGTCTTTAAACAATGTAAGATAATTCCAGTATTTAAAAGAAAATACATAAGTGTCAAGGCTGTGAGCCTCTTGAAATGAGCACAGTTTTAAGCAAATTGCTCAGAAATAGTAAAAAAGTACAACTAAAAAAAGAGGAATGTGCTTCAGTAGGAGAAACAAGGTTTCTATCTATGTTTATACAGTAACAAGAGCAGCTCAAGTCTGAATCGCATGCATCCTTTTTCACTCATGCACACGAGTGAGAAATACCGACAAATGCTTGAGAATTTTAATTTGTTCTTGCACCCAGGCATCAATGTAAACTGCTCACATCATGTATTTTTGACCCCACAATATTTTTGCGATCCAAAAATATCGTTTCAGTTGAAAAGAGAAGTCTTGGCACTCGCAACAAAGAGTCACCGTTATTCATAAACTACATGGAGGAAACATGGGCTTGTTGATAAAACCTCCAGTTAGTAACTGCTGTTTAATCCAAGTATATGCAATCAATAGCACTGTGTGTTGACAGAAATATCTGTCAGTTTCTGGCAGACAGATAACATTGTAATTCAGACAATGCCTGTTATCAGGTCAAGTATGCTTCTAGGAAGAAAGTACTGAACTGTACAAAATTCTTCAGAGTTCAGCAGAGACACAAAACCTTCCCATCTTCATAAGCAGCTGACCCAGTAAAAGTTATAATTGAAGTTTTCCCCCACTCTTTTATCCTGCAGTTGTTTCACCGCAAGACAGGTTTTCATTCTCAGTATAACTGAGTATGCAATATTAAACTAAACAAACCGCATGTTAAAAACTTCATAGCACTAAATCTGGAAAAAAGGGAATGCATAACATCATCTTGAAAGAAAAGATAACCAACTGATTGTTCTACCAAATATTTATGCTAATTTCTGAAAAACCTAAAGGTCACAGAGTTGCCTTAGGCAAGTCACATGTTCCCAGTGCAGGTTTCTTTTTCACAAAAGTGGCTTATACTAAACAGGACTGCAAGGGAATTTGAGCCATGTACTGTAAATAAATACACATACTAGAAGCACATATCTTGCACATTTATTATTACTTTTCTTACATCATGTAGCAAGTCATGTATACACGGTTCCCAGACACGCTCCCATCCCCAGACACTGATCAGACCCAGATGAATGCTAAATTCTGGAGTTGTTTAATGCCAAGACACTCAAATAACAGGGGATTTAGGCTGTGTATTAGATGCAGCTTTTACTAGGTAGTAGCTTACAGAAGTTATCAATCAATACAGATTTAAAATGCTCCCATCCTGCCACTTACTGCCAATTGCAGAGCCAGTTCAAATTGCTTATCTTGAAGAAGCTGCTGGATCTGGGTTGCAATGGAAACCGGAATGAGGCGCCAAACAAAATGATTGCTGGCCACATACACAATATTTGTACTAAAAAGAAAAAAAAAGAAAGAAGTTGGGTTATCAACATGATCATAATAAAATGAAAGGCCTTTCCCCCCTCCCCTTTAATTCATAAATATGTAAAAATTAATAATTCAGTAGAAGCATAAGCACAAGATTAGAATCTATAAAGTTAAGATGGGAGAAAAAAACTTGAAACTTCCATACCCTCCGGAAGTAATGAAGCGTGGTCTCTGGAGCTCAATACTCTGCACGAGGAGTCGGGGCTCAAAAGTACGAATCTCTACATATCTTGGCAGTACTGCAACAATGTACGGCGGTTGATGTTCTGTTTTGGAAATGGAACAGTCAGCAACAGCATTTGGTTCTACAATAGCGTTCCCCAAATTTACATTCGGAAACAGTGAATCCATTGCATTTTATGCATTAGAATGCTTTATACTTTCGTGCTTTTCAGGCTTTTTAAAAATTGGTCCATTTTAACAGCAGGGAAAGAGAGGCAAAGAAACTGAAAAGAAGGCATAACCAAGAGACCAAACTTCATTTCAAGTATAAGTCACTCTTTCATTCTGCCTGTGCATCCTTGTTCTGCTCCAACTGGGCACTGTGCCCTTTGTTACGTTGCCCCCTAGTGCTTGCATTCGGAACTGTTCTTAATGTTCCCTTTAAGTAAAGGCAGTGGCGTAGCGTGGGGGGTGCAGGGGGGGCCGGCCGCACCAGGCGCAACATCTGGGGTTAGGGCAAATCCACAGGTTAGGGGGCGCAAATCCACGGGTTAGGGGGCGCAAATCCACGGGTTAGGGGGCGCAAATTACTTGCCTTGCCCCGGGTGCTGACAACCCACGCTACGCCACTGAGTAAAGGTAAAGGGTCCAGTCGTGACCAAATCTGGGGTTGCGCACTCATCTCACTTTATTGGCCAAGGCAGCCAGCGTACAGCTTCCGGGTCATGTGGCCAGCATGACTAAGCCGCTTCTGGCGACCCAGAGCAGCGCATGGAAACACCGTTTACCTTCCCACCGGAGCGGTACCTATTTATCTACTTGCACTTTGATGTGCTTTTGAACTGCTAGGTTGGCAGGAGTAGGGACCGAGCAACGGGAGCTCACCCCGTCACGGGGATTCGAACCGCCGACCTTCTGATCGGCAGGTCCTAGGCTCTGTGGTTTAACCCACAGCGCCACCTGCGTCCCACAAGGTTCCCTTTATCTGTAAGAAATTGATTAGTCTTAGCATCAACTACCCTGCACTGATTGGATATCCTGCATAGGAAAATCCAACCATAAATTAAGGAATAATAATAACCTTAGGTATTCCTTTTGTATTGTTTTAAAACCTATCTCCTGGTGGGGGGAGGGTTGTACTGTTAAAACCATTTTAGCTGTTTTTATTGTAAGTCTGTAAATCACCTTGAGACATATGTAAAAGAAGATTCATAAATTAATAACAATAAATAATAGTAACAATCCTTTTTGGTTCAATTCTCCACCTCAGGAGAAAAGCCTCCCAGTGACCTTGTTCTCTGCCTTTTCACCTTAGATTCAACCTTCCATTCCTCTTCCTTCAAAGTATCAAATCATTTGCATTTACAAGCCCTTTGCTGGTCAAGTTAACAACCTTCAATATTGATTTACGTGAAAATGTGGATTAGGCACGAATTTAGCTAATATGGGCAGCAGTCTAACATGGGTTGAGGCCAGAACAAGGTAATTTGTTTCAGAGGAGGCTGCTAAGGAAAAAGGCAGCGGTCACTGACTTACAACGGCCTCGGCCCAGTATACCTGAAGGAGCGTCTCCATCCCAACATTCAGCCCAGACACTGAGGTCCAGCGCTGAAGGCCTTCTGGCAGTTCCCTCACTGTGAGAAGTGAGGTTACAGGGAACCAGGCAGAGGGCCTTCTCAGTAGTGGCGCCTGTGGAACGCCCTCCCATCGGATGTCAAGGAAAGAAACAACTATCTGACTTTTAGAAGACATCTGAAGGCAGCCCTGTTTAGGGACATTTTTAATGTTTGAAGTTTTATTCTGTTTTTAATGTTTTGTTGAAAGCCTCCCAGAGTGGCTGGGAAAACCTAGCCAGATGGGTGGGGTAGAAATAAATTATATTATTAATTAATTATTATTATTATTATTATTATTATTATTATTATTATTATTATTATTATTATACGAAGATCTAGTTCTCACCCATGGCTATTGGGATATCTGTCCAGTTCAAGGCACATTTCTGTGTACAAGTTCCTTCTTCATTTAATACAACAGTAAGATCATCCTGGCCTACAGCAACTTTCCCATCTGCCAAAGGGGCCACCAGTGGCTCAAGCTGCTTTCCTGTGGGGAAGAGTTCTTTGATGGAACCTTTACCATCCACCTGCAAAAGGAAAAATCATAGCCAGTCAATCCATACAGAATAACTACACTAGACTGATTTTTATCATTAGAGGAAGGAAAATAGTCTTTCCTTTCAGGAGCCCATCCACCAAGATTACTTCACTTAAAAACCCTGCAGATCCAGTACCAACATATGCCTTTGAGAACTCCCAAACATAACTAACTTCCATTGAGGCTACCACATTCACACCGTGATACCACTTTAAACAGTCATGGCTTCCCCCAAAGAATCATGGGAGCTGTAGTCTGTGTTAAGGGTGCTGAGAGGTCTTAGTCAACCCCTGTTTCCTTCCTCAAGCTACAATTCCCAGAGAGGTTTAACCATCAATCCCTCTTCCCTGAGAACTCTGGGAATTGTAGCTCTGTGAGAGAAAGGGTCTCTTAACAACTTTCGGTACCCTTAACAAACTACAGCTTCCAGAATTCTTTTGGCAAAGCCGTGGCTTGATTTAGTGGTATCATAGAATGTTAAACATATGGTGTAAATATGGCCTTACAGAGCAATCCTACACATGTTCACTTGGAATTAACTCTCACTAGGTTCAATGGGACTTGCAGCCTTAATTATACACAATGCAGCCTTAATTATACACAAGTAGTTCATACTGTAGTCACAGTCTATTCCCATCTTCACTGAATCCGAAGAAAATCAACCTTTATTATTCTGACTTAGTCTAAACTCTCTCTTACCCTTATTAGATAATAGTCCCTCTTGAAACCCACACAGATTGAATCTTCACACCACGCCATTGACTTGGGTACATCTGGCACGCTGAAGTCTCCCTGGAGATCAAGAAAGAAAAGGTCTAGTTACTCTGGTAACTGTTTTTATACAGTTTTAAAACTGTTCTATACATATCTGCATAGCAATATCCCTTGCTTGTCTGTATTGCCATCTCAATTATCTACCAGCAAAGCAAGCTGCTTTAACAGAAACTAAATATGGTAGTATTTGAAATCTATCCTCTAAACAAAAACACAAACAACTTCAAATCCCTTCCTATACCTTCTCATCCAAGGCCAAGGCCAACATACTCTCTCCCTTCCACCTTTAATATGATTTGAGGGAAAGCAAAATCCATATGAATTTCGCAGCAAAGATCCTTGAACAAAACACTAGATAGCAGCCATCTTTTCCATGAAGAAAAAAGCAGTACATTGAATTAACCATAACTGAGGAAGCCTTTAATACCAGAAAGACTGAAGGCTTGCATTCAGGTGCCCAAGCACTAAAATGTATTAGGTAAAGGTAAAGGGACCCCTGACCATTAAGTCCAGTCGTGACCGACTCTGGGGTTGCGCGCTCATCTCGCTCTATAGGCCAAGGGAGCCGGCATTTGTCCGCAGACAGCTTCCAGCATGACTAAGCCGCTTCTGGCGAACCAGAGCAGCACACGAAAACGCCGTTTACCTTCCCACCAGAGTGGCACCTATTTATCTACTTGCACTTTGACATGCTTTCGAACTGCTAGGTGGGCAGGAGCAGGGACCGAGCAACGGGAGCTCACACTGTCACGGGGATTTGAACCGCCGACCTTCTGATCGGCGCCACCTGCGTCCCTCTAAAATGTAATACATTTCTCTTAAAGGAGCCAGGGCTGGCAAACAAGTAATAAAACAACAAAAACATCTTAAAAACAAGTACTAAACAAACCTGCAGCTCGTAGAACTCTCTGTCCTTCCAGTAATACAGCTGGAGCTTCTTTTTCACTGCCACACACATCCTCAAGACCTCTTCACCTGTGTCAGAGTGCTGTGGGGGAAAAATAGTTCTCTATGTATTAGTGTGGAAGGCACTTCATCAAGTACATTCATGTGCACTTGGTATTTAAAAACTATAGAACTTTCCTCTCATGAAACCAGCCTTTATTGAGGACAATATTCTGTTCATTTTTGACTTCACACACCAAGGTCTCACAGTCAGTCCCCTTTTTCAAGATTGGATAAGGCATGCCATCTTCTTATACTTGCCTTCAGGTCACAGGTGAAGAGAGTTGCACCCTTTGCCTTGGAAACTGTTGTGATCTGTTGAAATGTCAACAGGTCATGAACGTAAATGTTGTTTTCTGTTTGGAACAAGACAGGAACATTATTGTAATTCCACATGCCCTCATAACTATTTCAAATTTGAAAACAGAGAAATGGGTTAATAAGCGTTTGGACACAATTCTGCAAACAACTCTCAGACGTCTTGCCGATTCTAAGGTACACTGCATTGCCAAAGACTTCATTGATGCATGTCTGCAGTATTCACAGAATTATACGGTACAAATTCAACAAATCTTATCAGCAGGAGACAAGACTTAACTTGTTTTAAAAATAGGTGAGTGGCAAATAGATATAAAGTAAGCTAATGCAATCTTCTCTATGTCAGAATGCAGAGAAAAACATTTCATGTATGTGGGAGAAAAGACACAAGGGTCTTAAAAGAAAGACTTGCAACATAAAGGAAGGAGATCAAGGATAACCATGCTCAGATGAATAATAACACAATCCTATGCATGTGTATCCTATGCATACCCATAAGTAAGTCCTATTGAGTTTAATGGGGCTTACTTTGAAGTAAGAGATGCATAAGATTGCAGCTTCAATTACTCTGTCTCAAAACATAATGCTGTGAATTCACTTACCTAATAAACTGACCAAAATTTTGAACTGGGACACAACATGGATCTACAATAATAATAATAATAATTAAAATGTTGTAAATAAGTTGCAGTCAAACCTTTGCTAGAAATGATTCTTACTTAACAGAAAGGGACTCAAATTAAAATCAGTTTATATGCAAGCTATCAACCTCTAGCAGAGTAACCTTGCAGCAATAGTCATGACATTTCTGGTGACATTAACAGCTTCCGTTACAGGCAATAAATACTATTTCAACATGAACTCCCAAGAAGTTTCTTGAACTATATAAAAATATATTTATAGTTTAATAGGCACAACAATTTTGCTGAGCACATATACCATTGTATAGATATTAAATAATAGTGCCTTTACTTGGAGAGGGAGAACTATGGTTCAGTGCTATATCCAAATGCCGCTATTAAGGCATTATAAGCCAGTCATAATTCTTAAGATTCCAGCGAGCAACAAAGGATTGAGTTCCACAAAGCATATGCAAATCGGAATGAAAACCCCAAAAGAAAATCACACCAGTGCTGTTTATTATTCAGAAGGCCGGAAAAAGGAATGAGCACCAACACAGTAAGCTTTTTATAAGAACAGTTACTCAAAATAGGCTCTTTCGCTCCCTCAAAATATTCTAGTTTATTACGTAAGGTTTTTAATTAAATGTTAATTAACAGACTTTGTTGCTTAACAAAGGAGCTGCTTATTTGGGTTGACATCTTTACCATTAACCAGCCCAAGTCCTTCTGCTCCCTTTTCCTGAAAGGAATATTGATAATGGCTATGTCTGCATATAAAACTAAGCTGTGTGTGTTTGCTTTTTAAAAAAAACCATAAATTGACTTCCATATGAGGAAAGCAGCTATGGCTTGCTTCTCAAATGCTTGATTCCCCTCCCCTAGCCTCATGCCTCTGTTTTGGGTACTTGAAATGTGTAGCCAAACAAACCATAGTTAAGCAAGGCCATTAGTTTTGGATATAGGGCCAAAATATAGTTAGTATAAGCCATGGCCAATAAACCAACAACAAATAGTTTGCTGGGCTGGTTTCAAACATTCAAACAAGCCACATTTGGCTAAAAACTCCACGGCTTAGTCTTATATGTGCAAACCAGGCTTATGTCATCAAGTGCAGGAGACCAGAAGATATGGGCATACCTCCCCATATCCCCTATTCTAGTTGTAGCTTTCTGTGCATTTTGTAAGCTGCTCTGGGACCCTATCTTGGCTGCACGGCAGGATATAAATATAATAAGCTACAGTGGTACCCCCGCAAGACGAACGCCTCGGAAGACAAAAAACTCGCTAGACGGAGGAGTTTTTCGTTTTCTTAGCCGCTTCGCAAGATGCATTTCCCTATGGGCTTGCTTCGCAAAACGAAGCTTGCCCCGCAAGCTCCGGGGATAGCGGGGAAGCGCAGCGCGTCTTCCCTGCTGTCCCCAGACCCCTTTTGAACCAAGGGGCGGCAACGGGGAGAAGCGATTCTCCCCGCTGCCCCTTCCCTTGCTTTAAAACAGGTCCGGGGACAGAGGGGAAGGCGCGCGCGCCTTCCCCTCTGTCCCCGGAGATTGCGGGGCAGGCAACGGGGAGAAGCAATCTTCTCCCCGCCGCCCCTTGCTTTAAACAGGTCTGGGGACAGAGGGGAAGGCGCACGGCGCTTCCCCTCTGTCCCCGGACGGTCTCCATAGGAACGCATTGATTGATTTTCAATGCATTCCTATGGGAAACCGTGCTTCGCAAGATGAAAAACTCGCAAGAAGAAAAAACTTGCGGAACGAATTAATTTCGTCTTGCGAGGCACCACTGTACTCAGAAAAAGCTAGTCACTTGAAAGCACAAGGCTGCAGCAACTTCCATTCTGCATTGGTGCTGTTATGCCAAGAGGCATGTACTGCAATTTCCCAAATGTCTTTGAAGTAGTGTCTCCGATTTTATTACAGTAACCCCGAACACATTGATGTGGGATCAAAGGTAGTGGAACTCTACAAGACTTATGGCAGCTACACACATTAGGATTGCTGCAGCAAATGCCAATATTGTAAGAGAAGACAAGATCAGTGGTACAACAACTTCCATCTCACCCCACCCCACCCCAGTAAAACAAAGTCTTGACTTCAGTCAAATGCCTCTTATGATTTTAGGTTGGTCCAGAGATATCCCCAGTACCTGCTGAATCTTCTTGGAGAAGTTCTTGTTTGACTTCTCTAATGTCACTTCAAATCTGTTGCAACCTACCAGACAGCAAAGGGATTCTTTTAGACTACAGATACTTTTCACATTAACTATTTCATCAACACGTATTTCAATCAGCTAAGGCAAAATATCCCACAAAGTTCTGCTATCAGTTTAGAGGAGATGCAAGTCTCACATGTCCACCTGAAGTTTGCAAAATAAAAATGAGCAATTATACATTACAGCATACCCATTACCCCACCAGTAAACTGGGCATTGTCATCTCATGGACGAAAGGGGTTTAACAAAAGACTTCAAAAATCTAGTTTAGGAAAAGGCAAGCCCCCAGCACCCTTTATCACTGCATCAGCCACTAGCAAATAAAATCCCTAGGGAGTATAGCAAGAGGGACAAAGAATAAAAACACTTCACCACAAGGGTTTAAAGGTTTATGGATACAAACTTACAGCCACTTTCTGATGTCGTAACCTCTCCTGACGTTGATGCAAAAAGGGGGAGAAATTTACCAAGTGAGACAAGAGCAACTGAAAACTCTCATGATTTGACTGGAACAGACTGGCTAAGGTGGGTCGAGAATAAATTCAGTTTTCTTAAAAGAATCATGTCTTTTTCTGCAAAGCTAGAAAAATGGCCTCTCTAAGATAGTACTGGTGTTGCCCAGAGCAGGAAAAAGCAGCACCCCAGGCTCACTTCCCCTGTTTTCATAGCTTTACTGAGGAACAGGTTAAAATGTCAACTCCCAATTCATTTCCATTGGGCCACCCCGCCATTACTTGCATTCATTAGTAACACCTTTAACCAAAATGAAGCCTAAGTGCACATAATTGCCTTTGCTTGCCATCATTCCCTGTTATCCTCATTTCTTGCATTCATCTCCTCAGTTGTCTGCCCTTGCCTTTCCCTTCTTTGTATCTTCTCATCCCCTGTCTGAAGGTCTGGAGAGCTGCTGCCAGTCAGAGTATATAATACTCTGAGCTAGATGGAGCAATGGTCTAACTCTACAAGGCAGATTCCTATGTTCCTATCCACTGTCAACATGCAGAGAATGGAGCTTGAATCCAATGTTTGCTTTGAGCTTAGAGGCTGGCTTGATGTCCACCAGTCCCTTCAACCCAATGCAGCATTCCATGTCCCTTAAATGCCGCTCCTGAAGGCCGGGGATCCTCTGGAATTATATGGGATATGGCACAGAAGGCTGCAAATAGCAGGGCATGTTGGCGGAAATGGGGTGCCTTGCCTTGTGCTAATAGAAGCACTTCTGCCAGAACAGGGGCAGCCTTTGATACAACCCTGTAAATTTAGACTGCTCGTGCAACTGTGTGATTTTCCAGTACAATACTGGGAAATATATTGTGGGGATGCTCTCACAAAACCACATCATCACTGAAAACTGTGGAAGGAAGGTTACTCTGAAGCAATTCTTCCACTTCAAAAGAGATTGTAAGAATTGGCATTCAGTCTATCCAGACTTAGGACAACACGGGACAACAATTGAGAAAAGGACTGCTGCTAATGCACCAGTGAGCCAAAATGTACCGTATTTTTTGCTCTATAACACGCACCTGACCATAACACGCACATCGTTTTTAGAGGAGGAAAACAAGGGAAAAAACATTCTGAATGAAACAGTGGATGTATCATTTTTGTGCTTCATGCTGTGGCCACAGACATGTGATCTGATGGTGAATTTGGGGTGACCCAATGCAAAAATCCTGAGAATCCCTGTGGATCCATGCTTTGTAACCACATTTTTGCACCATTGCAGCCCCAGGCAACAGTGGGTGCGTGCTTTTTTTGGTGCAGGCTGTAGCCATGGACATGCTATGTGATCTGATGGTGAATTTGGGGTGACCCAATGCAAAAATCCTGAGAATCCCTGTGGATCCATGCTTTGTAACCACGTTTTTGCACCATTGCAGCCCCAGGCAACAGTGGGTGCGTGCTTTTTTTGGTGCAGGCTGTAGCTATGGACATGCTATGTGCTCTGATGGTGAATTTGGGCTGACCCAATGCAAAGATCCTGAGGATCCATATGGACCCATGCTTTGTAACCACGTTTTTGCACCATTGCAGCCCCAGGCAACAGTGGGTGCGTGATTTTGGGGGGGCAGGCTGTAGCCATGGACATGCTATGTGATCTGATGGTGAATTTGGGGTGACCCAATGCAAAGATCCTGAGGATCCATGTTGATCTATGCTTTGTAACCACATTTTAAGTGGGGAGCGAAGGAAAAACAAAGAAGGGAAATGAGAGGGGTGTGCAGAGAAGCAGCTGGCTAAGGGTGGGAGGAAAGAAAGGCAAAAGTTCCCCCCCCCAAGCCAGCCATCTCTCTCTCTCTCTCTCTCCCTCCCTCCCTCCCTCCCTCCCTCACCCTCCCCCCTCTCCCTCTCCCTCCCCCACTCTCTCTCCCTCTCCCCCAGCAGCAACGGAGCACAGAGAAGAATTAGAAAGAACGACACTCTGCTTGCCTGGAGGGGAGGGGCTTTCCCTGCTCTTTGTTCCGTTTCAGCAAACACAGCAACGAAACAGAGACGGGTGGGCAGTAAGACCCTGAGGCAGAATGCAGGAAAGCAACCACTTCCTCTTTTCAGGTTTCCCTTCTCCGTGACTCGAGATTTGACTTTTGCTTGATTTTTTGGCTCCAGGGACCACACATTCGCTCTATAACACGCACAGACATTTCCCCTTCCTTTTTAGGAGAAAAAATCTGCGTGTTATAGAGGGAAAAATACGGTAGGTGCTGTAGGGTTTTGTTTTGGCTTTTCCATTCTAAATCATACCATAGGTTATATAGGTTGGGTTTTGTATACAACAGCTCTATCTGAGCTTTATGCTCCCTTAAATCCTACACTTTGTCCTGAAATACAGTGAAAAACAGAATCACAGAATTGTAGAGTTAGAAGGGGCCCTGAGGGTCATCTAGTTCAACCCTCAGTAATGTAGGAATCTCAACTCAATACATGGCAGATGACCAGGAAGAAGAGTCCACCTCCAGCAAAAGCCCCATAAACCACCCAAAAGACAAGAGGTACACAGATGACCTGGGATGTACTAAATGTAAATCTTTATTAAATTGTGCTGTAACTTGCAACCTGATCTATTCAGTGACAGAAGGTATGTGGCAGAAGAAGTGGAAATCAGTCATCTCCCTCGCCTGTTTTTAGCTAAATAAAAAGCAGTGATGGAATTGTCAGTTGTGTGATTATCTTCACAGCAAGTTTGGCCTTCACTGCTATCAGATTGTGCAAATCAAGCCTACAATCAAGCCTATACACAGTGAATGTTATCTTCAAGCCAACTGCTGACCTACTTCAGCTTTCAAAGTTATGCCATTAGTTACACATGTTTTTAAGAACTGGGTCTATTGAAGTTCCCACAGAAAGGGAAACTAGAAATGCTGCAGGACCCTATGACATTTAGGGGCAATCAGTGCAGTCTCTAGTATTTAAGCTTTATACAGTGTGGTTCTCATGTGAGTATCAGGCTCCTGCACACACTCTCATCGCCACCAAACACAGCACAGAAAACCGTGTAAACCCACCCTAAAATACAGTTAAACAAACATGCTTCATTGCACATGCTCCAAGAGCTTACAGAAACTTGGCTAATTTTTTTCCACACCCACCAGTTTCCTTTCGAATTCTGTAAAGAAGGAGGTGGCCTTGTTTTGTCCCAACGAGGAGCCATTCCTCTGCAATAAAAACAAACATTTTATAAATTGCAGTAAGATCACATTTCTTCCATCTATGCATAATTTATGTAACCCTTACATCTCATACTGGGAAGTTCTAATGAATAAACATATGAATGGAAACTTCTCCACACAGTTCTTTGGAAACGCTAAAATTAACATGTCAACGGTTTTTAAAACCTTAAATTTTCCCCTTAAAGTATGAACAATGTAAGAGAAATGCATACTATTTCTAGATGTATTTATATAAGCATTCCAATAAAAGTATTTGCAAGTAAAGCTTTAAACTTGTTTAAATGTAACATTTAAACAAAATTTACAGTGCAATCGCATGCATTTTTACTCAGATACAAGTCCCTCTAACTTCAGCCGGGCTTTCTTCCAGGAAAAGCATGTACATGATGGCAACCTAAGTGCCCTTCATTGATTTTCCCCCCTAAATCAAGCATTTCATTTTTTGTTATTCTTTTTTTATATACGTTATGCAGTACAAAAAGGTAACATTTGTGCTATTTCAAAATTCTGTTTATTTATACAGTACAAAAGAGTAACTGTGTCAACTTTGAATTCTGTTTAAAGCAGATACCAATCAATTTAGAGTGTTGTGGTGGGAGGGGGATTAGGAAATTTTACAATTCAAATTTTTCCAGAAAACACACAATATTACCAAGTGTGCCCGGTAAGAACTACAGCCTTTGTTAAAATTCTGGCTTTCATTTTAAATGTTCCTTGCTCAGAATATGGTGAAGAAAATAAACTCCTGTTTACCATTAAAAAGCTCAAAAGTCATAACTGAAGGGGGGCTATGCTGCAGGAATTATATTCTGAAGATGCAACGGTCTTTGTCCTGAGCAGTATTTTATAAAAAGATAGAGATAAAAAAATTGGCTGGATATCACCATCCCCAGATATCCACTCATATTTAGATTATCTTTTTAAAATAGATTACTTAATAAGATAAATCATTATTACTATGCACTTGTTTTTAATTGAACTGCTAATAATAAATGTTGATGAACAAAGCAAGACTCGTCTTTATCATGCATGTTTTTTTACTAAAATGTCGTACCCAAATCTGGAACAAAAAGCTTCTTCCTTTAACAGTATGTGTACTAAGCAACTCTTGCTAATGCTTAATGTTAGTAATGTATAAGTTGAGGCCCAAAATTATCTAATTAGGTGCTATGCAAATAGTACTGCCAATGAAAAGCACACACTTATATTTAAAGACATGCAAATCATTTATAGCCATCTGTATCATAAAATATTGCCACAAATTATTTTCCTCTTGGCAAACACACACACACACACAAAATAATAATAATTCCAGAAAATGGTGCTTGCTCTAAGAGCATTTTCAGCATTATTAATTTTGTACACAAAATGCCTCTCAAGTAGGAAAAAGTGCAAACAGCACATATATTATCACTTGTGACATCACATGTACACACAAGGCAACTTCACTGTCTCCCACAGCTTCATATACACGTAAACACAGCCAAAAAAAGGCATGCAATCACCACACATGACAATAGTTTTCACACTTTTTATCTTACACCAGAGTGCTCCCCATGTAGAAAATTCTTAACTTTTGATAGTGTCCCAATTTCTCGTATTTTGTTGTGAACCCAATGCCACAAACCTTCCTCTGCTCAATCTCCCCATAAGTTATATATTTCTACATACATAAAGGCTTGCATTACTTTGGGCCAGAGCATACAGACTCAATATAATCAATTGCATCTCACCGAAAATACCTGTGATTTTTTTTTCTCCCTACCCACCCTGTATTAAAATTCTGTGAAATACCAAGCAATGTAAATCAACGATGAACTGCAAGAATATACCATTTAAACAAGTACAGTTATCTCAGCCTCCTGATGGCCAGGCAAGATTTCTTACTGCAAAATGCAGTCAATTCAGATGAGAAGGCCTGACTCAGTAAGGAGATCAATAATTCAGACGGATATCATTTGGATGCACAAAGTTACAGGTTGCTGAAGACACATCCAATTTTAAAGTACACACAACTGCCTCCAGATATACCTTGCAAGGGAATACGGAGGATTGCAGGTTGAAAGAAAAATAACAGGACACAAGCTGGTTTAGATGGTAGTATTTAATGGTATCCCTCTGGGGAAGTAACAGGCCTTTGAAGGCTGCAATTGAACTCTAAGTTAGGAATTGGAGAATATTCCTGACTGAAGAACTGAATTAAGTTCATATATTCCACTCATTCAGTAAACTACTGTACTCAGTTAGTAAACTAGCCTTCTCCAACCTTGCAGCACCACTGTAGTTGGACTAAAATGTCCATCATCCTCGGCCAGCTTGCCAGTGGTAAAGGATTGTGGGAGTTGCAGTCTAAAAACATCTAGGGTTGAATAGCTGAAAGCGGTCACAATTCACAAATCATACTTCATCTCATATACATCAGACTGCTTCACATGTTGCAAAAGCCAGATCTCTGTATTTCCACTGCAAGTCAGCCATACTTGAAAGTTATTCACAAACGATAAACATTTGTTTATAAACACTTGCTTTAAAAAGGGTGCATTTTAAAAAATAATAATAACAGGCTTGCAATCATTTTCTGCAACGTGTGAAATGGCATTAACATGGCAACTACTCTCAAAACCCAATAATGGGAAAGATGCAACCCACAGAACAGATATGAGGTAAGTTCAGTGCTTTTTTTCTGGGGGGTACACACACCCCTAAACATTTTGTGAATCTACTTTTTGTCCATCTACTGTATTTATTTCCCCCGATTTGAACTATAAAATGGTGATTTTCTTGAGTCAAAATGAGAGTAGCCCTAAACACTTTTTTTTTAAAGAAAAAAAGCACTGGGGAAATTCAATCCCACTTATAATGCACTCTTTTCAGAAACCAAGAGAATACCAAAACACAGCTAGCCATCTTTCCACCTCGATTTTATCGGAAGGGTATGCAAGAGCCGCTTCTTGCGCCAGATTCAATTTTTTAAAACGCGTCCACCGCACCATGACGCGTGTTAAGGGGCTGAGGGCAAAGTCGCAGGCAAGCACTGATTCACACGCTGACAAAACACGCCACACTTCAGTGTCCGTCACGTGTCCGGCAGCTGACAGGCTTCAAAAACCACAACGTCGAGTGACCCTTCAGGTATCCAGCAGAGATACCACCCACCCAAAAAAAATAACATTAAAGCGGTTGCCTCATCGGGAAGAGGGCAGGGCTTTGCCGCTCCCTCCCGCTTCAAGCGCACAGCCAAAACGGGCGCCAAACCCCCTTCCGTGGCCAGGAAGGAGAACCGGACCGGGAGCTGGCAGGAGGGCGTGAAAAAAAACAAGCCAAGCGGGCGGCAGGGAGAGGGAGGCGGGGATGGCGAGATGCCCCTCCGCAGCTCGGCGCCCCACTCACCCCACGCGGCCAAGCAGTCAATCTGCAGAGGCAGCTTCTCCAGAATCGGCACCGGCTCGAAGGCGTCGTGCATGATGGCGGCGGGCGGCTACGCGGGGCCCGGCAAACGCCCGCCGAGAGGACTCCCTTGGAGACTCCGGCTCCGGAGCAGCCGCCCCAGACACCTCCTCCCAGGCCCGGCCCAGGCGCTTCCGGCTCCCGCTTCACTTCCGCGGCCAGGCTCCACCTCCGGGAAACCCCCCGGGAGCCCGGCCTCCTCGCCAGCAGCGCCGGTCCGCCGCTTCCCCTCGTCTCTGTCTCGCTGGCCGAGCCTCTCGCAGGCATTGCGGCCTCAGTTGCTGCTGGTGGTGCGGAAAAGGGGCGTCTTTGACACGAGAGGGGCTTTCGGAGCCCCTTGTATAAAATGGGGGGGGGACTTGGGTTTACAGTACGTAAAAGCTAAACAAGCTGTAGCTTAGGGCCCCACTCTTGGGGCCCCCAAAAAATTTAAATGGGGAAAAAAAAACCTGGATGTACATTTCCAAAATATAAGATAAAAAAACAAATAAATAAAACGTACACACAGCAACATATACTTCTTCTTAATTGTATTTCACTATTAATATAGTGGACCATAAAAAAGGCTGATCCCCGAAGAATTGATGCTTTTGAATTATGGTTCTGGAGGAGACTCTTGAGAGTCCCATGGACTGCAAGAAGATCAAACGCATCCATTCTTAAGGAAATCAGCCCTGAGTGCTCACTGGAAGGACGGATCCTGAAGCAGAGGCTCCAGTACTTTGGCCACCTCATGAGAAGAGAAGACTCCCTGGAAAAGACCCTGATGTTGGGAAAGATCAGGAGAAGGGGACAACAGAGGACGAGATGGTTGGATAGTGTTCTCGAAGCTACCAGCATGAGTTTGACCAAACTGCGGGAGGCAGTGGAAGACAAGAGTGCCTGGCGTGCTCTGGTCCATGGGGTCACGAAGAGTCGGACACGACTAAACAACAACATCAACAACATTAATATATTTAATTGTATTTCAGTTCAACAATTACTTTGATAAAATACATTTTTTGTTATGTGCAAATGGCTTCAGGTACCTATTAGGTCCATAAATTACCATATACCATATATTCAACACAAAAAAACAGTGACAATTTGTTGTTGACAAAGGACAGCTGGACATATAAAGGGCCCCATTACCTTCAGTAGCTTAGGGCTTCATCAGACCTAAAATCTGGCTCTGTTGCGGCCTCAGCAGTTGCTGTTTATGGTGCGGAAAAGGGGCATCTTTTCAACACTAAGAGGGGCTTTCAGAGCCCCTTGTATAAAACGGGGGGGGGCTCATTAACCACTATTGGGAATGATTGTGTAGGGCTGTTCATGGGCGTAGCCAGGATGTTTGTTAGGGGGAGCAGGCATTTGTTAGGCGGGGCAGAACCTCAGATTTGTATTGATTTTTATTGATTTAGGCTATTCACCCCGTCACACACACCCCGCCTACGACCATAGAGCTGTTACTTATGGGACTAGGGTAGCAAAGGACAAATCGGGCCATTCTTTGGAAAGGGGTATCCCTCAAGTCCAGCACACCAATCATACAAGAAGATAGTGGTCATTTCAATTGTGGGCATCTTACCTGATAAGGGCGTAAGCCAGACTATTTGGGTCACATTTTTGGCATCCTGGTCGTTGATATGGGTAGCCTGTGGTTATTGACCAGCTGCAGCTGGCCCTGTCTTTACCAATCATGTGCCTTCCTAGTGGTTTGTACCACAGCCATGCAGAGCTTGGTTAGGGATCGTGGGAGTCATAGTCCAAAACATCTGAAGGGCATGAGGTTGGCAAAGACTGAGCTAGATGCGCTCTGGATCTGATTTCACAAGAAGCTGAGTCAGGCTGATGGGCCATGCAGCTCAATATTGTCCACTATGCTAGGTGGTGGCAGTCCTCCAGGGTTTCCAATAGGGATCATTTTCCAGCCCCTTTTCCAGCTAGTGCTAGAAACGGTGAACCTTTGCATACAAAGCATCTGCTCTACCACTCACTCATCATTATTATTTATTAAATTTCTATGCTGCCCTTCATCCAAAGATCAAAGAAATATAACCCCTCATACGTAATTCTGGGGCCGAACCATGATATTTAATCAAGGTCTTATTTATGTAACAATTGCCTTCTATAAAATGCATTGCTCAGGGCAACATACAAGAAGAAAAGTACATTAAAAATCCTATACAGTCATTAATAACTTATTACATTGCAGGGAAATGATTAATTATACATTTAAATGCTTGGTGACTTTCAATAAGGCAGCTTACTAGTGGAGCTGTCGCATAGGAGTCAAGACTGTTGGTTATTAACTCGGAACATTGTATGAAGACTGGTAGCATATCTCCAAGGCATTTCATGGAATGGTCTTCCCCATCCTAATACCTGGATTCATCAACTGGAGATGTCAGAGCATGAACCTGCAACCCCGTGTCGGTGGCTGGCTTATGGAACAATTATGATGTCAGCCATTTGCATATACAAGGAGAATATTGCAGTTCTGATGCCAAAACTGAGAGGCTGCCCTGGGGGAAAAACCTGTTTTGATGTGTAAGATATAACAAGTTCCACAAGCTGAACTTTCCAAAGACAGGAAGCTGAAAGCAGGCCCATATGTGCTTTATGAACTGATATGTTCATAAAGGAGACTGTGTTTCTGCAAAAATGCAGTGCCCAGTCATCATACTTTATGCCTCTCATTTAGCAAACAAGTATAAGAAGTCAAGCTTAAAGGTCAGAAAGCTACACTTAAAAACTGAATTTAAGAAAAAAAAAGGATTTTATTATACAGAACAGAAATCTGCAACTCAGATTGAATCAAATGAAAGAGTGCCTGTAAGTTACAGGAAAACCCATTACCAAACCACTTATACATAAGTACAGCTAAAACGCCTCTGGAAAGCAAAATCCAAACAATGCCACATTTAATGTGAAATCCTAATTCCAGGTTCTGCTGCTAGAGGGCTGAAAGTGTCAAAAACCAGCAATGAAGCCCAAATTTTGGCACTAACATTTGAAAAAATACCCCCCAAAAATCCTTCCCTCCCACAAGACACCCAGAACAGAAACATCCCAAAACAGCATATTTGCATAAATTATTGCAGGAGAATATTTGCTGTTGTTATGAACAATTTGCCCCCTTTACAGGACTTTTAACATCTCAGTGACAGGCTTAATTTTCTGAGAATCTCTTTTACAAAATCCTGTGAGGTACTTGAATTTTCAAATACATTTCATTATAAAAGCGTGTTGTCAGAGGTGGCTCTTTATTAAAGATCATAGTAGGAAGGTGGGACAAGGAACAAGGAACTGAAAGGCGACTAGATGGGAATAATTGTAGCAGAATGTTTGGAGTCACTGGAAGTATAATAGGATGCTTCTGGCCCTAGGGACTGGGCTATTGGGAACTTTATAAATCGACAAAGTGTTGGATATGGTATATGGATGTGTATTTAGGGCCAGATTCAGGTTTGGAGGTGCTCTCAGGTGGGCCCTGGGCCCCTGGACATGGATTTACTTGGAAGCAATGGCAGGTGGCTATGAGCCACCACTTTAACTTTCCAACACTGCATCAGAATGATGCCACACTGTGGCTCAATAATCCCAGGACAGGTACTGGGGGACCTGGAAGCTGGCAAGGATATGTAGTGCAGACACCAGGTCTATTCAGGAGTTATTTGAGAAGAGCAACAGGAACAAGCTGCTATCTGAAGTCACAGTTCTGTGTAGACTATGTGAACATCTAGGACAGGTTAGTCTGACATGAACTTTTAGGATAGGACTGCACAACTTGTGGCCTAACACACCCGACTGCTTTTGCTGTCTGTCTAGAGCTACAAAAACAGGAAGGAAGGTTGTCAAGCATTTGACAAGCCACAGACACGGCTATGGGCTGCAATGGACTCGGTGGGTCACAGCCTGAACAGGCCTGATTCAAAGAGTCAATATGTATGGGGAGGTTGACTCCAACACAAGTGCATTTGCGAGTCTATGGAATATGCTCCAATGCAACAATATTAGAAGCACAGGCTAAAGGCATGGGGCTGGTCAAGGTCAGTGAATAAGTGCTGAGGGTTGGTTGGTTTTTTTAATTATTTAAATTGCACTCTGCTCTGATTTGAATAGTTAACTGCTCATGCTCACACCCCATTGCCAGCAACGAGATATGTACCAAACACGTAAGCGATCACTGCATCTACGTATGCAAAACTTAAGATAGACCATCTTTCCTACACAGTAGAGTGAATAAAATTGCACTTGATCTTGCCAAAAATATTAGGAATCCTAAATTTTCCCAAATACCTCCTTCCCTCATGATGCGTTAACTGTTTCCCATAACTAGGAGTTCTCATTCTAAAACTTTCTCCTTTTCACAGGCCAGGTACCAGAATCTTCTTCAGTCAGAAGCTGCCACATCCAATAAAAATGCAAGGCACTGACCCTGATCCATAGATTACTGCACACAGCAGTTTGCTGCATGCACACTACTGTGGGCACTCATTTACAGATGGTTGATTCTGGCATCTCTCATGGGTACCAGTCCTTTACTGGGCTGGCGGGATTCAATCCTACACACACTGTCCCAGATGCTGGATACAGAGTTTTTTAAATATACGTAGCATCTTACTGAGCAATCGCTGGTACCTGTCTATAAGCTTGAGCTTGCCTTTGTCTCTAGAACACCCGTGCTGGTTTGGGGAAACCATCAATCACTCTTCCCCTCTTCCCACTGTGGTTAAAACATGAGGGATTTAGCTGTAATGTTGAATTAACCATTCCTCAGGCAGTTGTTAAAACAGTTTTAGATTTAGCTTGACTATAATGTTTAAAAAGTAAAGACGTGCTGCAATCAATACGTTTAAATGGCTTAAAACCCACACTTGCAGCAGCAATGCAAATTCAAACATTTTCCTAGGTGTATCAACATGTGTGTGATTCCTTCCACAGTGATCCAAGCAAAATGTTCTTTCCTCTGAGAACAATGTCCAAAGGTGAACGTCACAGAACATATCAGAAGAATGCAGCATTCCATGGGAGAAAAACGTTTCTTCCTTTCTTCAACAGCAGGAAGCCTTGTCAAGCAAACTGTCCTTATTCATTCCATTTTAGATCTTTCAAAATGTGTGATCATTCTTTCCTGCAATATTAATATATGGGTCACAATGAGGTTTCACATTTCTTTTTTTAAAAAAATGTTAACATTAGTGTACTATCCAAAGTTCAAAACACAAAGCAAATGCTTCTTCTGTAACAGGAGTTATACTTAGAACTAATTCCTTTTAGGCACAGTTAAGTGAACATC